CATCCTTTTTAAGCATAAAATTATATTATACATGAGATTTTTGGTCATACTTTTTCTCATATTACTATAAGGCTGACACCGATGCATAAATATTTGATGGTATCATATAAATGATATAAGTATACGCGCTTTGTATGACACTGTATTTTAGATTTTTTTTGTGGCTTTACATTTTTATAATCTAAATACTTTAGCAATTTATACTATTGTAGACATGTTTTTTAGATATAAAACCACAATTCTTTTTTGCGTAGCCAGTGGCAGTGGAGATGGTGCGGCTGGTGCCGGTGCTGTAGTTGCGTCAGTTGGACGAGGTTCAGCCCGCGGGAAAAGAATCTTATCCGCAGATATAATTACAAAGCCGAGCCACGTAGATAACAAAAAAGGTGAGCAATAATAGTAGTTTAATGAATTGATAATCCTTAATTTATTAATTTAACAAACTGTAAAGTAAATTTACTTCGTGTCTTCCGTATGTTTTTAAATATCTTATTGTGTATTTATTCTTTGTAGAATATTATTTTGTTTTCGTTTTTCTTTCTAGTCTTTCTTTTAAATTTTATATCTTCCATGTTCACAAATTTTCCAACATTATTTCTCGATATAACTTTGTAGAGCATTCTATATTTGATATCAGTATTTAAATAAATATATATGTTGCATGTATTGTGTTATGAGTAGCGATCGTGGCGCAGAGAATGTGCGTTGCTCTAATGAATCAAAGATCCGAGTTCAAATTCAACTAAAATCATCGGTTTTTATTCGGTCGCCACCTCTTGGAAGGTGATGTCAACTTACCGAGAGTATCTTGCTACGAGAACCCCTCTGAAGAGGGAACCGACTCTCCAGATTGGAGGTTGGGAAGTAGGTTAATCTACTGCCAGAAAACAAATCTTGTCTCAAAACCTCAAAACTTTAAGAAGGTCCGCGTCCATCTTGAACTGGAGTATCGTTGGATGGATGGATGGATGGATAGATATATGTATTACATACATAATTTTTATTTTGTCTTAATAAAATTAAATTTTCTTACAATTTCGATATTTCTCAGGTGTATCTGGCATTCGCAAAGTGCTCCAAGTGAATTATTTCAAATTACTGAAGGAGACTGATTGGGCCCTTTATCAATATCACGTCGATTTTGCGCCCGAAGAAGATCACACAGGTGTGCGTAAAGCTTTACTCAGAGTGCATCAAAAGACTCTCGGTGCATATATCTTTGACGGCACTCTACTGTACACAAGTCACCGAATGTCCGACGTAAGTAGCAAATGTATAGCTTCGTATGATGCAATATGCATCTCTTGGATGTCGTTTATGTATCTTCTCAAGCGTATGTTTTCAAATATAATTGAAATATTTTAGCGAATGGTATTTACCTCAATCAGACAATCAAATAACCAGCCTGTTACGATTACCGTACGTCTTGTTGGTGATATGCTAGTAGGAGATGCTCATTATATCCAGTTCTTTAACATAATCATGAGAAAATGTTACGAGCAACTAAATCTACAATTAGTCGGTCGCAATTATTTCGATCCTGCGAACAAGGTAAGTACATTTACAAATGCATTGTTGGTCAGAGAAAACTCGATGCTCATGAAATAATTGTTTCGTCGTGTAAATACAGGTCGTCTTGCCGGAATTTAAATTGGAATTGTGGCCAGGATACGTATCATCTATTCGTCAACATGAACGAGATATCTTAATGTGTGTCGAGATAACGAGTAAAGTTATGCGATTGGAAACAATGCTAGACATCTTAAATCAGTGTTGGAGGGTCGACGAACGCAGATACAAAGTAAGTTATATTTTCTCTTAGAATTGCTTAGATTTTTGCCGGAATGTTTGTGAAAATAACTCATCTTTTCTGTCAAGAAAGGCTTATATTACAAGAAAGCATGTAAGCATTGTAGTTTCCACATTGTAGCCATACTTGAATTACAAACGAGTAATCATGTCAGTTTTTTCTACTACACAAATTCAACATATCTCTGCAGTAAGGAAACAAGAGCTTCAAATGAAATCATCAATGTACAAGGTGTACAGATAATTATCGTATCTCCTCTCGTGAACAGGTAGAGCGAATTGAACTGAGCAGAAAAATTCTTTATCGTTTTGTGAATTTCTCGATAATTAATGAGGAATTAATTAATAAAAATTAGCGAATAAGTGTGCATTCGCACGATTCAGCGTCAATAGACAGCCACGCATTATTTGCTAGACGCACGTTTTTCCCCAAAGCTTTGTAATAACTTGCACGTGCGTAACAACTGCAATCATCACGTGAGGCTGTTTCTTCTCGCCGAATCGCGCGAACATTGATTTGTGGATCTTCATTAATTATTAAGAAACTCGCAAAGCAGGTAAAAAAAAGGGTTTTTTATTCAGTTCAACTCTACCTACGTACGAGAGCCACGAGAGATGGTACGATAATCAAATACTCAGTATAGATACCCTGTATCTATTTTACTTTCAATTTTATTATAATTCTTTGTAATAAGTATTTTCATGTTTTCTCGGTTACGCCGTAAAAATAAATTAAACATGTATGTGTATCTGTGTTTGCAGGAAAATTTCGCTAAAGCTGTGATCAATACGGTAGTTCTTACTGATTATAACAACAATACATACCGTATTGAAGACGTAGATTTTTTGACTACTCCTAGCAACGAATTTGAGTTTAAAGGCAATAAAATAACATACGTAGATTATTATAAAAATAAATACGATATCAGGATTAGTAATCTTAAACAGCCAATGCTTGTGTCGAGATCCAAAACGAGAGATCGACAAGCTGCAGAGCCGGCCCAGAACCTCGTTTATTTAGTGCCCGAATTATGTCGTGCAACAGGTACGTTATACTATTGTTTTATTGGCAACTTTTCAATTTATCCTTATTTTTTCCTCGTTAATTTTTTCATTGTCTTTGAATTAAACAGCGAAAAAATGTTGCCGTTTTTGATGATATTTATGAAGTTATTAACTTCATAAGTATATCTTTTGACTATTTGATCTTTATATTGTGATATTATTGTGATTTGCAGGTTTAACCGACGATATGAGGGAAAATTTCAGACTCATGAAGGGTTTGGCTGAAGAGACGCGTGTCGATCCTGGAAAGCGTATGAATAGATTAATCAGATTTAATAGAAGACTTCATGAAGTACCTGCTATTAGGCAAGAATTAGCCCAATGGAACCTGCAGCTAGATAATAAGCTGCTTGATATTCCCGCGCGCGAGCTAGCTGCTGAGAGACTCTTCTTCGGCGGAAATATAGTTGCCAATGCCGATAATGGCGATTGGACGAGAACTATGCAAAATAAGAAATGCGTAATTGCTCCAGCATTACATAATTGGGTCTTCGTAGTTACGCAAAGAGATGAGAAAGTAGCCAAGGTATTGCTGAATCAAGACTGAATACCGCTACAAATTATTAAATACATAGATAAATTTTAATTTATATATAAATTTATTAATAGTATTTATATATTTGTTTATTATGAATAGTAAATTCTTTCTTTTAGTTACGTGTATGTAACTAAAAAAAAAAATAATAATTTTGAAAAAATGTTGATTTCTTGTAAATCAATGTTTTGAATATTATACATGATATTGCAAACTCTTATTAAAATGCATATTGATCAAATATTGAGTTTTTATTTTAATTGATAATATTTTATTTCAGAATTTCATATCTCTTGTAATGAAAGTAGCAGCAGGAATATCATTTGATGTGAAATTGCCGACAACAGAAATTATCCCCGATGATAGACCAGGCTCGTATAGCGAAAAGCTGGAACAAATTCTAAGCAAGCGGGTACCACAAATGGTGTTTTGCGTGGTATCGAACAATCGCAGCGATCGCTACTCGGCGATCAAGAAGAAGTGCTGTGTGGACCGGCCTGTGCCATCGCAGGTCTGCATGTCGAGGACGATGTCACATAAAAATGTCACGTCTATCGCCACAAAAATAGCGATACAGATGAACTGTAAATTAGGCGGGGCACCGTGGTTCGTAGAAATTCCGTTGGAAGGGATGATGATGATTGGATTCGACGTTTGCCACGACACAGCAGTGAAGAACAAAGATTTCGGTGAGTATTAGAATTCTTGAAGTTTACAATCTCACACAAAACAGAGTAACGCGAAATTGCAACATGTAATATTTAGAGATATGCGAACTATTCGAAAATTTCGAATCTAGATGATTCGAATAAGAATCATACATATTGTCAAATTTACAAAATCAATTCCCCGTTAATAACCAAATACGACTATGTTAATAGATACATTCAGTGAATGCATTCAGTATTATAAAACCGCTCACAGAGTGGCTAAATAGCAATCAAAAAGTATATTTTTAATTTTTGACATGTTTTGTGACCCTATCAAATTGTTAGTGAATATGCGTAAAAAAATAGTAAGCTACGAGTACTGAAAGCAAAATGAACTATATTATTTTATTTTATTTTTTATTATATGGGGCATTTCATGCCAAATCGACCTGGGTTTGACCCTCGACCTCTCGGATTTGGTCGGCGGTTTTTTATGTTATTGTTCCCACTTTAAAATGCACTCGAAATTAACAAAAAATTTTTTTTTATAAAATTGTGTTTGATCTAAAGTGGGCCGGCGTTCGCTTCTAATTTTTTCGAACTTTTTTCGAGCTTTTTTCGAAAAAAATATTGAAAAAAATTAGAAGCAGACGTCAGTCACTGTAGGCTGTTGCTTGAACATTTTTGTATATAACACAGGATTTTTGAGAATTTTTTCAGATTTTTCCAACGCGATTTTTTTTATTTTGGAAAATTGCTTCAAAAAAATTTGAAAAAATTCTCAAAAAAAAAAATTAAAATTTTCTATTATCTATGTGTTAAAATTTAACCTAATAATAATTATATTGTTAATTAAAAATTATATTTCAACAATTCGATTCGAATGAAATCTTGTCGATTCGATTCGAATTCGAAAGAGGAAATAAAATTTGATTCAATTTGACTCGACATAAAAAATCTTTGATTCGCACATCTCTAATGTAATTATAGCTTTTTTAATTAATCTTCAAATTTTCCTAAATTAACTGTCGATTTTTGTCGCCATATTTTAACGTTGCGATACAAGGTTTCTTAATTTATCTTGGATCAATTATATCTTAGAGGAAAAACGTGGAAAGTAGCGAATTCGGGCGCTTGCACTAGTGCACACTGAGTGCGCACTAAGGCTTGTTCTTAATCAATTGTTATATTTACAGATCATCTTAATTAGTCTATAAAATGATTTGTACAGCATCCATATAGATATTACAGATTTTTTTTTTGCTAAAAAGTTTTTAAATGTGTATTTAAGCAACTTTAAATATAAGAATAGATTATAAACAAGCCTTATAGTGCGCACTCAGTGTGCACCAGTGTAAGCGTCCGAATTCGCTATAAAATACTTTTTTTTTTAAATGCATAAAATATAAATGCGCTCTCTAGAATTCATTATCGAATCTTCTCGGTTTTGTCAATCTCTTCTCGTTAATCTCTCCTTGTTAATTGTGATTCGTTATTGCAGGTGCTACAGTGGCTACCCTGAATAAACAGATGACAAAGTACTTCAGCGCGGTAAGCGCGCACGAAACCGGCGAGGAACTGTCGAATGATCTCTCCGATAACATCTGCAAGGCCGCACAAATGTACTACGCGCAGAACAAATTTCTGCCGGCGTACATTGTGATTTATCGCGACGGTGTCGGCGAGGGTCAGATCGCGCAAGTGATGGACCGTGAAGTTGGACAGATAACGAAGAGGCTCGACGGGTTGTACGGCGGTCCGAACAAATACAAGATGGCTTTTATAATCGTGACGAAGCGGCTAAACACGCGATTCTTTTACAACAACGATAATCCGGCCCCAGGCACGATAGTTGACGACGTCATTACAAGCCCGATCAAGTACGATTTCTTTATCGTATCGCAGAAGGTGCGACAGGGCACGGTAACGCCTACCTCGTACAATGTCATTTACGACACTCTCGGCTTAGACCCCGACAAGATACAACGTATGACGTACAAACTGACCCATATGTATTACAATTGTTCAAACACCGTTAGAGTACCGGCACCCTGCCACTATGCTCACAAGCTGGCGTTCCTGGTGAGTAAGTTCATTCATCGGGCGCCGAACTCTCAACTACAAAACACGTTGTACTTTTTGTAATCTCGCATTTGGTAGTGTTATACTATTTCATTCTTTTTTTTCAGTTTTGTACGTATTATCTCTTACTTTTACTTTTCTTTTATTACATTTAAGATAGATTACTTACAGGAGCGAAGTTTTATTTTCACGATGATTTGAGATCTCGAAGGGGTTGGAACTCTAAAAGAAAAAAACCAAGTGTAATAGTACTTTTATTACTCTTGAAATAACGCTGCTATGAAATAATACTTTATGATAAAAAAGTAATTTTTTTTACATTAACATTAATATGAAACATTATTTAGAAAAGAAGTTAAATAAGCACAAAACTGGAATGTAATTGGTATCTATCGACAGCTATTTTAGCGCCCTGACTTCTCGGACAATTTTTAAGTCTCCGCGTTGTAATATTGAAATGAACTATTATATAAGACTCATTTATTTTTCATATAATATCATGATTGAATATAATATTGATATTCAATACGACTGCAGTAACTTGAGATTACACAGGGTTCTATCGCATTATCGAATTATCGATAATGAATTTTCCGCGATTTGATGTGATATCAGTACTTATTCCTAAGAGAGCCATTCCATGTTATCTTTGTATGTTGTAATCATTGATTTCGGAATCTTTTTCTTTCATTTTTTGGACGCGATGCTACGTTCAAGCAAATGAAACTGATCTATTATGTTAGTTACCATAATCCAATAGTAGGAATTTTAGTTTCACCTTTTGTATACCAAAGTTACATTTATAAACCATATTTCTTTCGATTTCAGACTTTATAAATGTAAAGAGATGATTTATAAGATATACATTTCTATTGTTTTTTTTTTTTTTTTTTTTTTTATGTGCATAGTTTTAATTGCATTACGAGTAAGGAATGTTTTTAACGGCACCGATGAAAAATATTGTAACTGCACTTCTGAGTATAGCTACAATTTTGTCCACGGAAAAAAATGATGTATCAACAGCATCAGTGTTATTGAGATGAAATTTATTAATGCAATATCAATATTGGTGAACAAAAAATACCAGATAATTGTTTTAATAATTTAAACATTTGGTCCAATAATATCCAATTAAGAATTATTTATGCTATTATACTATTTATGCTTGTGGCAGCCCGTGACGTTGACATTTAATCAAGACACGGTAGTGTCTCACGCCAAGTACACGCGGAGCGAGACCGACCGTGACTCTTTTACGCGACGCGACGATTTGCGAGTGTTGAAGCAACTTATTTTTTTTCTGTGTTCAAATTCAATCAAATTGCAGGAATAAAGTGTCTAAAAGCATTCAAAAGAAAGCAAACTTTTCCATCCATATTTGAATCTATTTTTAAGACAAAAAGACAAGTTTTTTTTTTTTAAAGAAGTTGGTTGACATTTTTTTATCAGTGTCAACGAATCCACTTCTAAAATTAATAGTTGCTTTCCATTTACACTCAAGTGATTTGATACTACGTTTATGCGAGCGTTACTTCTGCAGTAACTTATGTGAGTATTTTATACTCAGGTAAGATAAGTCATTTTGTATTTACCTGCTTATTTTTGTGACAGAGCTATCGCATAACAATACAGATTCGTAGTATCACTTTTAACGTGAATCTATTAGATTCATTAAAGCACACGGTCTCGATTGAGGATAAAATCTTGCTTGCCAGCATGCAAGAAGAACGTGCATTGAACTGAGTTATGACGTCACAAACGAGAATTATCTGAGTTTTGAAATGAAAAGCAACTATTCTTAAAAAAATGAAATAAAATAGAAAATGTGTTCATTTCGAAATCGAATTATTACAGCAGGAAATATCTTATTTGTTTTAGTGATTAAATTAACTTTTCATTCTAATATAAAATTCCTCTATTTTCGACAATTAATACTCCCAAATTTTTTCGAATTACGACATTCTTCTATTTTTCAAGATTTGATAAGTGTATCGATGTTGGCGATATTATAGTAATGTATAATGAAATAAATCATATATGTATACATATGGTGTATTTTCTGAACTTTATAGATGTGTCATGCAATCATTGCATAGCTCGTCCGTGATGCTTTGTTAAATATATTTTAACAAGCCTAAAAATTGAGTCGAGGATACTTTACTGTTTCATCTTTTGTTCTATGATCTGGGATAGACAAAATTCGTGTATACGAAATACACAGTGTGATTCTCTGTGCCAGAAAAACGATCTTTTCCTCTAGCAAAAATTACTTTCAAGCAATAGCTTCAAAATGAGAGCAATTTGAAGCTAAAAGCTAATGAATGAACGTTCTAAGGCTGCGTTCAGATATTCA